CGCACGTTTCAAGTCTGGAGAAAGCAAACCCTGCGGTTTAGGGAAGAAACGTTTGGGGTTTAGGGTTTAGGGTTTAGAGTTTAGGGTTTAGGGTTTAGGGTTTAGGACTCAAAGGGTCTGCGAAAGGACGAGCTGCGCCAGTGTGCCCCAGAGCTCATGGCGGCCAAGCGGGCCATGGTGCGCGACTGCCAGGAAGCGTGTGCGGGGCCCGGAGGGAAGGTGTAGGGTTCTTAGGGGAGGGGTGGGGGTTCATGGGGGGTTTAGGGTTTAGGGTTTAGGGTTTAGGGTTTAGGGTTGAGGGTTTAGGGTTTAGAGTGTAGGGTAGGTACCTAGGCAAGCGGAGGGGAGGTGAATGGGAGGGAACGAAGGAGGGACCCTTATGAGGCACCTTAGGGGTTATTTAGTGGCTGCTTAGGTATATAGAGACTACAAACAATATACATACATATATGTATGTATGTATGTATGTATGTATGTATGTATGTATGTATGTATGTATGTATGTATGTATATTATAGGCTGCCACACCCTGCACATTAAGGCCTGAGCCCGAAAGCCTGAACTCGGAGCCCTAAGCCCTGAGAGCCCCGAAGCAGCTTGTGGGGCTTTCACGCTTAAAGTCACTTCTGCCGCGGTGGAATGTTGTAGAAACTAGGAAGAACCTGAACCCTAAACCCTAAACCCTAAACCCTAAACCCTAAACCCTAAACCCTAAACCCTAAACCCTAAACCCTAAACCCTAAACCCTAAACCCTAAACCCAAAACCCTAAACCCTAAACCCTAAACCCTAAACCCTAAACCCCAGGTACGCAAAACTCTAGACCCAAACCCTAAACCCCAAGTACGCTAAACCGTAAAGACCCAAACATTCTTCAGCTTAGGGCGGGGGAGAAGGTAACCCCAGGCAATGACCCAGCTGTACCCAGAATCCTTCTCGTCCGTGTTCCTGGGTTTCGCTTCCACTTGGCCAAATCCCCAAACCCTGGAACCTAGACTAAACCCACAACAGCAAAGCCCTAAAACCCTCAACCCTGGCGTCTAGGTCTCAAGGTCCCCGAAGACTTGGCCTAAACCCGAAACCGTAGACCCTAAACCCTAAACCCTAAACCCTAAACCCTAAACCCTAAACCCGAAACCCAAAACCCAAAACCTTAAACCCTACACCCTGAACCCTAAACCCTAAAAACTTAAACCCTCAAACCCTAAGCCCCCAAACCTGTCTCAAGCCGACGCAATTGAAGGCCTGGCGGTGGCCGAGATCGGCTTCGACAGGCTCTTCTTCCAGTGTGACCGGGCTGAGCTGGGGAAGAGAGGTACGTAGACCCCTATACCCTAAACCCTAAACCCTAAACCGTAAACCCTAAACCCGAAACCCTAAACCTTAAACCCTAAACCCTAAACCCTAAACCCTAAACCCTAAACACTAAACACTAAATCCTAAACCCTAAACTCTAAACCCCTAAACCCTAAACCCTAAACCGGATGAGGCTTCCTGTAGAGGGCGTGCCGCACGTGGGCCTGTGCAAAAGCCCCGTAAACCCCCGCAAAAAACTTCCTCAACCCCCCAAACCCTAAGCCCTAAACCCGAAGCCCTAAGCCCTAAACCCTAAATTTAGGAGCCTCCGGCTCAGGCCGCCGACCCAAGAGGCCCGAAACCTCTCAACCCTCAAACCCCTAACCCTAAACCCCACACCCTATACCCAGAACCCTAATCCCTCAAGAACCCTAATCCCTCAAGAACCCTCACTCCAGGTTTTGAGCCTCTGTGGGTCTAATTACATGAAAAAAATTGTGCACCGACCCCCCACCCCCCCTCCCCCCCCGCCGGGTGTAAGGGAGGGCCCTCCCCCAACCAACACGCCGCCAGGGTCGGCGGACCCTAAACCCTAAATCCTAAACCCTAAACCCTAAACCCTAAACCCCAAACCCTAAACCCCAAACCCTAACAGTTCGAGCCCAAGGCCTGCAGTGCTTGCGCCGGCGCGACGATCAGCCGCTGGGGAGCGACGACAGGGTGTTTCTTTTAACCCCTGGTTTAGGGTTTAGGGTTTAGGGTTTAGGGTTTAGAGTTTAGGGTTTAGGGTTTAGGGTTTAATGAAGGAATTAAGGCCTACGGCCCTCTATACAACCTTATGTTCCCCTGCAGAATTATGGCTATTTAGCCATAATTCAGCTTAATTGAGGTTACTCAAGGGGGGAACCTAGGTGGGTTTAGGTTTGGAGTTTGCCAGGTTTGGGATTTAGGGCTTAAGGTTTAGAGTTTAGGATTTGGGGTTTGTGCCGGGTTTGCCTTTTGGGGTTTGCCGGGTTAGGGGTTTAGGGTTTGGGGTTTAGGGTTTAGGGTTTAGGGGTGTGCCGGGTGTGGGGTTTAGGGTTTCAGTGTTCAGGGAGGCTTCTCGGTGTCTGGACTAACAGGTAGCCGGGGTTGTGCTTAAGGTGCTCAGGGGGTGGGACGTAAACCCTGAACCCGAACCGAAGGCAACCCTAAACCCTACACCCTACACCCTACGCCCTACACCCTACACCCTACACCCTAAACCCTAAACCCTAAACCCTAAACCCTAAACCCTAAACCCTAAACCCTAAACCCTAAACCCGAACAGCTGCAACTGGATCTTCACCGGCTTTGTTGGTTCATCATCTGGATGAGTTTCTGAAGCTTGCCGCTGGGGCCAGTGGGGGCATTCACGGGCGCTCATCTGGATGAGTTTCTGAAGCATGCCGCTGGGGCCAGTGGGGGCATTCACGATGAGTTTCTGAAGCTTGCCGCTGGGGCCAGTGGGGGCATTCACGGGCGCATCTTGCCTCCACACACGAGCCAGCAGATGCCTCGGGTGTTCCAAGTGGCCCAAGTGTGTTGGCTTTCCACTGATCCTGATAGCCAAGAAAGCCGAAGTGCTCCACGTGTTTCACGTGTCCAGGTGTCTCGAGTGATTCATGAGCCCGTTGTTTTTGAACTTAGGGACCCTCAATAAGAGGGGCCGCAAAATAGAATAAGCACCCCAGCAGGCAGCATAGTTTAGAGAACCAACCAGGTGAGCTTGGAATGGGTTGGAGCTTGGCATGGCTACACGCTTCTGCATGCAGCTGACCAGTGCTGCACCCTAAACCCTAAACCCTAAACCCTAAACCCTAAACCCTCAACCCTAAGTTCTAAACCCTACTGGGGGGTTCGTGGTACTTAATCGCCAGTTACGACTGTATGTACAGCCCACTTCTAAGCCCCTGAATTACCCTAGCATGGTTATAATTGGGCGAGAAGTGCAGTTTAGTATTTGGTTAGTAAGTACCATGAACCCCCTATACACTATACCCGAAGGCCCTAACACCCTGAAGCCCTAAGACCCTGCAGTCCTAAAACCCCAAACCACTAAACCTAAAGCCCTCAACCCTAAAGCCCTACACCCCAACCTTACACCCTAAAGCCGCAAAACCCTAAGCCCACGAAACTCCTAAAGCCCTAACTAAGACCCCAAAGCCAAGAAAGCATAAACCCTAAACCCTAAACCCTAAACCCTAAACCCTAAACCCTAAACCCTAAACCCTAAACCCTACACCCTACACCCTAAACCCTAAACCCTAAACCCTAAACCCTAAACCCTAAACCCTAAACCCTAAACCCTAAACCCTAAACCCTAAACCCTAAACTCTAAACCCTAAACCCTAACCCTTAACCCTTAACCCTTAACCCTTAAAACCCCTAAGCCCACTAAGACCTAAGCAGGAGTTTGCGGCTCTTTGGCGCGCAGGCTCAGAGAGCCGACCCGGTTTTCCAGGGAGAGCCCTTCGGGGTTTAGGGTTTAGGGTTTGGGGTTTAGGGTTTAGGGTTTAGGGTTAGGGTTTAGGGTTTAGGGTTTAGGGCTTAGAGGGGCTTCGGGGTTCAGGGTTTAGTGAGGCTTGGGGGTTCCGGGCTCGGGAGTTCTCGAAATTATGGTCCCTTTTTGGGTACCCTGAATGTGACTGGGGCCGCCGTACAATAAGGACTCCAGAAGAGACTGTAATTTGGAGAAGTGACCATATGGCGTGTAGGGCTGAAAAGGCTTTGTAGGGTGTATAGATTTCAGGGGTTGAGGGAGTTTAGGGGAGGGTTTTGGTCTACCACGACGTAGCCCTAAACCCTGAACCCGAAACCCTAAACCCTAACCCTAAACCCCTAAACCCCTAAACCCCTAAACCCCTAAACCCCTAAACCCCTAAACCCCTAAACCCCTAAACCCTAAACCCTCAACCCAAAAACCTAAAGCTCTGAGACTGTGGGGGCTTGGGGCTTAGGCTGCTGAAGGTTTTGCTGACGGTGCCCCCTAAACCTTCATAGCGCCTTCAGCCCTGAAACCTTGAAGCTGTAGTAGGGCCCTGACCTAGACTCGAAACCCTCAACCCAAAACCCTAGACCTTAGCCCTAAGCCCTAAACCCCAGGTACCCTAGAATGCGAGCCTAAGGGTAACTCGCCGAAAACCTCACCCGCAGAATCCTTTAATTGAATGCGCCGAAACTGTTCAGCTCCCTCTAGAACCCACTTAACCCCCCCCCCCCCCCCCTTCTCCAAATGCCTTGAAGACCCAGAAGAACCTAAACCCTAAAACCCTAATCCCTAAGCCCTAAACCCTAAAACCCTAAACCCTAAACCCTAAAACCCTAAACCCTAAACCCTAAACCCTAAACCCTAGACCCTAAACCCTAAACCCTAAACCCTAAACCCTAAACCCTAAACCCTAGAACCCTAAAACCCTAAACCCTAAAACCCTAAACCCTAAACCCTAAACCCTAAACCCTAAACCCTAAAACCCTAAACCCTAAACCCTAAACCCTTGAACCCTAAACCCTAAACCTTAAAACCCTAAACCCTAAACCCCAGACCCCAAACCCCAAACCCTAAACCCTAAACCCTAAACCCTAAACCCTAAACCCTAAACCCTAAACCCTAAACCTCCATCAGCAACAATCCCGAAGGTGCTGTCCATGCGCTACGAGGAGGCATCGACTGCGTCGCGGGCAGCCATGGGTGCCGCAGCAATGGCTGCCAAGGCCAGTGCTTTGCTGTAGGGTTTAGGGTTTAGGGTTTAGGGTTTAAGGTTTAGGGTTTAGGGTTTAGGGTTTAGGGTTTGGGGTTTGGGGTTTGGGGTAGGGTTTAGGGTTTGAGGGTTGAGGGTTGATGTAGGGTTTAGGGTTTAGGGGTTTAGGGTTTGGGGACGGGCCCGAACTCAGCAGCTGTTCCGAGTCAAGGGTTCCCACGTTTCCGACGTTTTCGAAGCCAAAACCCTAAACCCTAAACCCGAAAACTTGAAGGCCCTAGACCCCTTAAAGGCCCTGAACCCCTTAAAGGCCCTAAACACCATAAAGGCCCCAAACCCCACAGGCTCAGCCGTAAGGTTAAGGTGGAGAAAGCCTTGTGCCCAGCCTTTGGGGGCTGGGGGGGGGGGGGAGGTAGTCAGGGTGGTTACATGGTCCCTCAATATGGGCTCTTAACCCCTTATATACCCGCAACCTCCCCGCCTGTGACTCCGCCCTGAACCTCCAGTTTGGGATTCCGACAATGACATCGTTGTCTCTGGTTACTGATGAGCATGCGTTCGCCTATGTGCACATCATTTCCGACTCGCAGCCTGAGCCTGCGGCGTCTTCCCAGCGTGGTCTTCCGCTCATCTGGCTGAATCCTGATTGGGCGTTCTCAGGCTGAAACCTCCGCAATCGGTGGAACCATTTGCGGCCCAGCTTGCCCTGAACTTCACCGGCTCAGCAAGCCCAAGGGCCCATACTTCAGAACCCTTTAAAGAAGGTAAGGGACCATATTCAGGGACCATACCCTCAGGGGTAGGTGTAGGGTGTCTTCACAGGGCACCTTGGGGGGCATCTAGGTTGAGCTCGGGGTTTAGGGTTTGTGGTTGCTGGGTTTTGGGTTGAGGGTTTCGAGCTTGGGGCTCAGGGCTTAGGGCTTGGGGTTTTTACATTTTATGGCTTCCGCTTGGCTGGTGTTGGGGCGTCGGAAACCGGATGCTGCTGGCACGAGGAAGTCGTGGCCGAGAATCTCTGCGGCTGGCTCGACGAGGCTCGGTTTGGGGTTTAGGGTTTAGTGTTTGGGGTTTAGGGTTTAGGGTTTGGCCCTCAATCCCCGCCTCAGGGCCGATGTAAATGCTTGCCAGCATCATCCTGTCCTGTTTTATGACGCAGCCAGACCTCTTCAAAATACCCTTGAAAAACCCCCCAACTTGAAACTTGAAGCTCCCAGCTTGCAACTTGCAACTTCCCAACTTGCAACTTAAACCTCAACCCTGTTTCAACACCCTAAAGCCCCCCCCCAACCCCAAGCCCCTCTGAACCCTCAGCCCTAGAGCCTGAACCTTCAAACCCGGGACCCCAAAAACTCAGTGCACTAGTGGTAGGGGCTCCAAGGAGTTCCAGAATGCCTAAACCGTTTGCCAAAAGCCCTAAACCCCAGGGGTTCTATTCAGAAAGGGTGTTCAGGAGGCTTAGGGTGTGTGGCTGGAGGTTCGGGGTTTGATGCTGGGATGGTTGTGTAGGGTTTTCGGGGTTTGGGGTTGCGTGTTTCGGGCTCGGGCTTGTTTCAGAACTTCGCGTGAAGCCGTGTCCTGAATTTGCGGGCCCTAACGGTCTTCAGTGACGTTTGCTCTCGTGCTTTCTGCCTGTACAGCCACTGCATGCTTCTTTAAACCCTAAACCCTAAACCTTAGACCTTAGACCACAAACCCTAAACCCTAAACCCTAAACCCTAAACCCTAAACCCTAAACCCTAAACCCTAAACCATAAACCCTAAACCCTAAACCCTAGAGTGCAAGTGCAAAGACCCCTCGACCCCCCAAACCCCTAAAGTCCAAGGCCCCGGCAGGTCCCTGCCACGATGCTCGTCACACACTTATAGGGTTTAGGGTTTAGGGTTTAGGGTTTAGGGTTTCCCTAAGCCGTTCATGCCACAAACGCCTCCTCTACACCCTGCACCCTACGCCCGACTAAACCCTAAATCCTAAACCCCAAACCCTAAACCCTAAACCCTAAACCCTCAACCCTAAACCCCAAACCCTAAACCCGAAACCCTAAAACCCTCAACCCTAAACCCCAAACCCTAAACCCGAAACCCGAAACCCTAAGCCCTAAAGCCCTCGGAAAGCGCCTGCGGGAGGCTGGCAACGACCCAGGGCTACCAGAGGCCACCACAAAGAGCCTCTGCTCGCTTCTGTGCCTTGGCCCGTTGGATGGAAGCTGCGGCCTTTGCGGGCCGAGGTTTAGGGTTTAGGGTTTAGGGTTTAGGGTTTAGGGTTTAGGGGTTTAGGGTCTAGGGTTTAGGGTTTAGGGTTTAGGGTTTGGGGTTTAGGGTCTAGGGTTTAGGGTTTAGGGTTTAGGGTTTGGGGGGGTATATGTTGGAGCCGCAAATAGTAGGATGATAATGTATGGGGTACTACCCTAAGTTCGGAAATCCATCTGTGGTTTAGGGCTTGGGGATTTAGGGCTTACATGTGGTTTAGGAAATTAGGGTTTATGCATTGGGATGTTCCCCCATATGCTAACAGTCCTTATCCGGGATTATCATAGGGGGTACTAAAATCCCCAGTAAGGACTGTTAGTATAAGGGGGGGCCATCCCAACCTAAACCCTAAACCCTAAACCCTAAACCCCAAACCCCAAACCCCAAACCCCAAACCCCAAACCCTAAACCCTAAACCCCAAACCCTAAACCCTAAACCCTAAAGCCGAAACCTCCAATCCCCTACACCCAAGAAACCCCAAATCCCCAAAAATCCCCCTGCCCAAAGCCCTCCACCCCCAGACCTGATATCCCGAAGCCTCAGCTTCAGGCAACAGCTCTTGAGCGGTTTAGGGTTTAGGGTTTAGGGTTTAGGATTTAGGGTTTAGGGTTTAGGGTTTAGGGTTTAGGGTTTAGGGTTTAGGGTTTAGGGTTTAGGGTTTAGGGTTTAGGGTTGAGGTTTTAGGGTTTAGGGTTTAGGGTTTAGGGTTTAGGGTTTAGGGTTTAGGGTTTAGGGTTTAGGGTTTAGGGTTTAGGGTTTAGGGTTTAGGGTTTAGGGTTTAGGGTTTAGGGTTTTTCATTCCTAGGCTGTGTTTTCTTTTGGGACCTGGGCGACCCTGTAACTTGGGTTCAGGGTTCAGGGTTGAAGTAGGGCTTATGGCTCGCTTGTTTTGCAGTGCCTACATTGGGGAGTTCTCTGTCCCCTTGTTTTTGGAAGTCCGGGATATCAAGTATTTAGATGATAAGAAGTAGAAATCTGAAGCATAAGGTAGGTGTGGCTCTTTCAAGATGAAGATAGCGCCAACACCATCCATAACATATTTATTTAATTAGCAAGAGAACAGAAATCTCAACTGATATCATACTGTAAAGCTAAGAATATTCCTGTAATAGTAATAAGTCATAACCAAGCAATTTCCCATTAAAAAAAAAAAAAAAAAACCAATATTGTGACAATAATTCCTGGGGGCCCGAAACACACGGCTCCGCAGTAGACAGAAGGAGCTCGCAAGGCACCGCATCTCGGAGCACTGCCCAAAGCTTTCGGGTTTAGGGTTGTAGTTTAGGGTTCGGGAAAAAGGGCCTTCTTGTCCGAGCTTTAAATCTGAAACGGTTGAGGCCTTCGGGGTTTAGGGGTCTTCGGCTGTTTCGGGTTCAGGGGTCTAAACCCTAAACCCTAAACCCGAAACCCTAAACCCTAAACCCTGAACCTGATACCCTAAACCCTAAACGGGGCTTTAGACATGGGGTCGACCAGGTGGAGTTTGTCCCAGGCACTGCACCCTCAGGCGGGCCCAGCAAGTTTTATGGGTAGGGCTTAGGGCCTGAGCCCGAAACCCTAAGCCCTAAACCCTAAACCCTAAACCCTAAACCCTAAACCCTAAACCCTAAACCCGAAACCCTAAACCCTAAACCCTAAACCCCAAACCCTAAACCCCAAAAGCCTGAGCTCCATTTAGGTGTAGGGCTCTTGAGCATGATGTGGGTTCTGGGATTTCGGCTTCAGGGTTTCGGATTTAGACCAATATGGTTTAAGGACCAGGGCTCAGGGGTAGTTCTGGACAAGCAATTCAGGTTGAAGTTTCTGAGTTCAGTTTTTGTTTTCTGATGCGTTGGGCTTCGTTGGGCTGGGGTTTTGTAGGGCTCAGGGTTTGGGGAGGCTTTCGGGCTTGCAGGGCTAAGGTGCTGTAAGCTTTAAGGGCTTTCAGACCTAAACCTGAGCCCTCAACCCTAAACTATGCAGAAGCCCTGGAGGTCTGGAATTTGGGGTCTAGGGTGTAGGGACCCCCTAAACCCTAAGCCCTAAACCCTAAACCCTAAGCCCTAAACCCTAAACCCTAAACCCTAAACCCTAAACCCTAAACCCTAAACCCTAAACCCCCACCGCAAGCCGAAACTCTGGATAGGAAGCATTGACCTGGATCCACAAGGCTCCCGCGGCAATTGTTTGGGGTTTCTGGCTTGGGGTGCAGGGTTTAGGGTTCTTTAGGGTTTAGGGTTTAGGTTTTGGGTGCTTTAGGGTTAGGGTTTCGGCTTTAGGGTTTAGGGGTCATTTGGGTTTAGGGTTGAGGGTCTGGGGTGATTACTCGAGGAAAAAGGTCAAGTGCCCTCAGAATTTCGGGCCTCAAATCTCTGAAACGGGGTCTTTCGTGTTGAGTGCCCCAAATCCCCTGACCTTTGCAAAGTCAGAAGCCTTCAAACCCTAAACTCTAAACCCTAAACCCCTATAGGCTGAATATTTTTAATCATAATCTTATGCACGACAGAACCTATAGACCCTGTAAACCCTATAACTTCTGCAAACCGAAGCCTTTCAGTCCTATAATTTGGGATGTTCCCCCTAAAACTAACAGTGCTTAATTGGGATTGTAGTACCCCCCATGAAAAAACCCTATTCAGGACTGTTAGTATCAGGGCGAATATTTCAATGCCCTACCTACAATCCCTGAAACCCTGAAACCGTAACCCTTAACCCTCAGCCAGACCCTAAACCCGAACCCCCAAACCCTGAACCCTCCTTGCGCATTTTGGGACGAAGACGTCACGCCACCACTACTACTATCTGGCCATGATGCTGCAGACGGAGGACCAGGAGGAAGTAACCTTCGTGGCAGTACGCCCCCTTCCGCGGCCATCGGCCTGGTCACCCGCCACACAAGAGCAGCAAGCAACAATCCATAACAATTTCCTTGCAGCAGCTGCAGCATCATGAGCATCATGGCATCGTGTGTCATGATCATCACGGGCATCAAGTGCTCTGCCAGCCCCATTTCCATTGCATCCTTCGCGCTGTGAACGGATCCCTCCTTCCCTCCTTCGAGCCTTCAAAACCTGCACCCTGGCCCTGTTCAATATTGCCGAGGAAGGAGAGAACACGCACCCGAACCTTCTCGGCCCCCAAACCCAAAACCCAAAACCCTAAACCCTAAACCCTATGCCCTAAGCCCTAAGCCCTAAGCCCTAAACCCTAAACCCTAAACCCTACACCCTAAACCCTAAACCCTAAACCCTACACGCTAAACCCTAAACCCTAAAACCCTAAAACCCTATACGCTAAACCCTCAACCCGAAACCCTAAACCCTAAACCCTAAACCCTAAACCCCCCGAAGAATCTGCACCCTGAGTCCCCTAAACCAATCGAGGCCCTACCTTTCCTGGGCCGGCTCGGCTGCATGTCCAAGGGCAACCTGGCTTTGGGTTTAGGGTTTAGGGTTTAGGGTTTAGGGTTTAGGGTTTAGGGTTTAGGGTTTCTGGGTTTAGGGGTTTAGGGGTTTAGGGGTTTAGGGGTTTAGGGGTTTAGGGCTTTAGGGGTTTAGGGGTCTGGGGGTTTAGGGGTTTAGGGGTTTAGGGGTTTGGGGGTTTAGGGGTGTGGGGGTTTAGGGGTGTGGGGGTTTAGGGGTTTAGGGTTAAGGGGGAACCTTCGCAAGAAACCCTTGAGAGTTAAGGTTTTAGGGTTGAGGGCTACGAAAGGGTTTTAGGGTTATAGGGATGTAACCTCAACGGCCAGGAAAATCTCGAGGCTTTGTAAACTATAACCCTCCAAGCCATGGCACCGCCTGAGCTGCCCCCAACCCTAAGCCCCCTTAACCCTTGAACCCTTTAGGCCTTAAACCCTTACAGCCTTAAACCGGCACAGCTTTAAAGCCTTCAAGCCTGAACCCCTTAGACCCCAGACACCCTTTGATCCTGAAGCCCTTCAACCCTGAAACCCTTTATCTCAAACCCCAAGACGCAAACCCCCAACCCCAAACCATAAGCCATTAAACCCTTAGACCCTTGAACCCTTGACCCCTGAACCCTAAACCCCAAACCCTAAACCCCAAGCCCTAAACCCTAAACCCCAAACCCCAAACCCCAAACCATAAGCTCTGGGTTCTCAGGCTGGTTGGCCTTATCAGCCTGCTACCGCCAGCTGGGTCGTGGGCCCCAGGTTTTTGCTGTACTGCTGACCCTGGCTGACTGTTCCGTCCGGGGGTTTAAGGTTTAGGGTTTAGGGTTTAGGATTTAGGGTTTAGGGTTTAGGGTAGGGAGCCCTGACATAGACCACCAAATAGTAGGATCCCCGTATACTACGGACCCCAACAAAATACCCCTAATACCCCCATCTGTTCTTGTTTTATGTGGTTGAGGAAAGGGCTCAGGTGTCAAGGAATCATGTTTTAGGAGTTCAAGGGTGCATGAGTTTGGGGTCTTTCGGGTTTACTCTAAACCCTAAACCCTAAACCATAAGCCCTACACCCTAAACCCTAAACCCTAGACCCTACACCCTAAACCCCACACCCTAGACCCTAGACCCTAGACCGAAACCCCAAGCCTACTGTCACCAGCCTGACTTCAGATAAGGCTCGACTATGGGGGAGGAGGGGGGGGGGGGTAGTAGAAGATCCGATTGCTGAACCCTAAGCCCCAAACCCTCAAGATGAGAATGAATTGAAGGTGTACGTGTTTCATTCCAACATGTGGACGGACCGTTAAAACAGACATAGAAGGACTAGACTCCTAAGCCCTGAGAACCCGAGGACTCTATGAACCACCCAAAGCCCTAAAATCCTAAAGCCTAGACCCCTAAAACGCTAAACCCTGAACACCTAAAAACGCTGAACCCTCAACATCCTGAACCCTGAAAGCACCCCAGAAAAGCCTAGTGGCGTAAGGAGACTCCACCAACGCGCGGCGGTGTCTCGAGAATCTTGTCGTATTTAGGGTTTTAGGGTTGAGGGTTAAGTGGTATTTATGTATGATGAATGCATTTTTTTCTATTTTTGGTTTGTTGGGTCTTGGGGTTTCAGGGTTAAGTGGTATCGTTTCTGGGTCTGGGGGTTCTACAGTTTCGGGATTCTAGCACCCCCGATTAGAATCCCTACTCAGGACTGTTAGTATAAGGTGAAACATCCCAAGGTAGAAGGCCCTAAACCCTAAAGACAAGAAGCCTAAAACCCTAAACCCCAAACCTTAAACCCTAAACCCTAAACCTTTTTGGGCCATCGGGATCGTCGAATTTCGGGGAGCGTGTGTCCTACCCAGGACAGCTCTTACCCACGACCGCAATGACCCAACGGCCAGCATGCTGCTTCTCGCAGACGCAGCTGCCACTTGGGTTGCGGAAGACGGGGTCCCTAACCCACAAAGCCCAACAAGACCCTAAAACCCCTTGAAGGCCCTAGGTACCCTGAAGCCCGGCACCCCGACCCGGACCCTCAACAGCAGGAGCCCTGAATTCCTGAAGCCTTCATCCCGACGTCCCGAGATCCATCAACCCTCCTAAGCCCTCAACTCCTCCTCGACCCGAAACCACAAGCCGTTGAGCCCCTTAAAGTCTGTAAACCCCCGAAAGCACGGAACTTCACAACCCCTGAACCCCCCCCCAGCAAACAGCAACGGACAAACAGCCCTTGAGCCCAAACCGCCTCAAACCCTCGACCTTGGGATGGTTCCCCTTATGCTAACAGTCCTTAGTAGGGATTCTACTAGGGGGTACTCTTAGGGTTTTAGGGTTTAGGGTTAAGGGTTTAGGGTTTATAGTCCCCGTTCAGGACTGTTGGTCTCAGGGCGGAACATCCGAACCTCAACCCAAAATCCTAAAATTCATTGGGCCTCAACCAGCAAACCCTCAACCCTAATGCTGTCAGAGCAGATTCCCTGACCCTAAAACATCTGAACCCTAAATGCTTTAAATCCAACTTCCCTGAGAAGATCTGAGACTTTGCACCCTAAACCCTAAAACCCTGAGCCCTAAACCCTAAACCCGAAACCCAAAACCCAAAACCCTAAACCCTAAACCCGAAACCCTCAAGGTGCGTGGAGAGAGCTCTGTGGTGCGGGGCCTGGCAGATCGCGTGGCGAAGAGGGAGTTGAAGCTGGGTGTCCAGGAGGCCTGTGGGGCGTATAGGGTTTAGGGTTTAGGGTTTGGGGTTTCGGGTTTAGAGTTTAGGGTTTCGGGTTTAGGGTTTAGGGGCGCCGCAGCTTGGAGGGGGGGGGGGGGGGGGAGGAGGGAGGGTGTTTAGGGGGTTCCCCACACCCTAAACCCTAGCCCTAAACCCTAAACCCAAAACCCTTAAAGCCCCAAGCGCAGGGTTTAGGATGAAACCCCGAGCCCTCACACCAGCAGCCCCAAGGCCCTGCCGTTAACCTGTGAAGGTGGCCTTCGCTGTGTCCGAGCTCCGGCATCACCAGATCAGCCCAACGACACTCACGCCGCAGTTTGGGGTTGAGGGGTTAGAGTTGAGGGTGGAGGGTTTAGGGTTTAGGGTTAGGATTTAGGGTTTAGGAGGGTTTAGGGTTTAGGAGGTGTAGACGCCTATCTACTTCCTTGTGGGATGGTTGCTGGCTGCGTTGGAGTGTGACAAGCACTGGTTGCAGGTGAGATTTCGGGGAAGAGGCGGCAGGAAGAAGAGGGACAGAGAGAGCGCAAGACAAGCGAGAGGGAGGGTTTAGGGGTGATTCTCAAAGGCGCGCTTGTGGGCCCCAACTAAAGACAACCTCGGGCAAACCCCATCACCCCCAAACCCCGTCACCCCTAGCCCCAACCCCCAGGTGCGGGTGGTTGTTTGACGGAATCATTACATGATGTGGGTTTAGGGTTGTAGATCATTGCATCCTTGCATTTACATGATTGTCTTCTAGGCAGGCCCTTTGGGATATTGTATATTTCCCCTTGTTGGGTGTTGGAGGATCATATCTAGGATCATTTCTCAGAGGGTTCTAAGACCCCAAACCCTAAACCCTAAACCCTAAACCCTAAACCCTAAACCCTAAACCCTAAACCCGAAACCCTAAACCCGAAACCCGAAACCCCAAACCCCAAACCCTAATCAGGGTTTTAAGGCCATCTGCGTCTTTTGAACGCCTTTACCCCAAGGCAGCTCACCCCTAAACCCTAAACCCTAAACCCTAAACCCTAAACCCTAAACCCTAAACCCTACACCCTAAACCCTAAACCCTAAACAAGGCAGCTCACCTGCCTCGACCTTCTGTTGGACCTGGCGTGCCAGGAGCTCTCACGGATCTGCCCTTCTGCTGTTCTTTTGAAGGCTCTAGACCCTCAACCCTCAACCCTCAACCCTCAACCCTAAACCCTAAACCCTAAACCCTAAACCCTAAACCCTAAACCCTAAACCCGAAAACCTAAACCCTAAGCCCTAAGCCCTAAGCCCTACACCCTAAACCCTCAACACTAACCCTAAACCCTAGAGACTCAAGACTGGCTTGGACCTCTATTTATATTCAGGGTTTAGGGTTTCGGGTTTAGGGCTTAGGGTTTAGGGTTTAGGGTTTAGGGTCTATTCTTCGGGCACTTCTCAAAAGGTCCCCTTAGTGGTATCCTTGCTCTAGCTCTCCCACGAACTAAGAACCAGTTGGGCTCCAATCCCGAAACCTATAAACTCTAAACCCTAAACCCTAAACCCTAAACCCTAAACCCTGAACCCCAAAACCGCTAATTTCGGGCTCCGAGGGCCTTTGACTGTCAAGCCTTAATTTTGCAGTGTGCTTCAGGGGTTTAAGGTTTAGGATCACAGCCGACAAGCCATAAAGCCCAAACCTTCATCCCATCTTTAAACTTTAAACGGCAATCCCATGTTTTTGTCTCCTTCGCCTTTGAGCAAGGCTGTTGCTCTGGGTTAACCTGCTGCGAGACCTCACAGCAGGATTGGCTTAGTAGCATGGCGGGCGCCTGAGGCGGCATCATGTCGCTTTCGGTCCATGTGCACCTCTTGACTGGCAAGGCTGTTACTTTGGCAACGGAACCAGAAGAGTCTGTGACCTGCTTGTGCCAAAGAGCCCAGGGCGCTCTAGGAGTTGGCAAGGGAAGGCTGCTGACAGGCTCTGGAGATGAGCTGACCGGAGGTACAGTCAAGCGAGCGCGTTTACAAGACAATGACATTCTGTCCCTGCATGTCGGACAGGTTCAGCTTAGAGCTTTGAAAACGTCTTGCTGGCTAGGCGAATCTGCCTTTGCTGCACTCCTGGGTGATGGATCTGTGGTGACCTGGGGACATGCAAGCTGTGGCGACTGCGGTGCCTTGCAAGAAAGGCTCCAGAACGTGCAGCAGGTGCAAGCTTCAATGTTTGCCTTTGCTGCCATTCGGGCTGATGGATGTGTGGTGACTTGGGGCGATGCTGAATACGGAGGTGACAGCAGTGCTGTGCAAGATAGGCTCCAGAGCGTGCAGCAGGTGCAAGCTTCATCATCAGCTTTTGCCGCCATTCGGGCTGATAGATCTGTGGTGACTTGGGGCGATGCTGGTTATGGCGGTGACAGCAGTGCCGTACAGCATCAGCTCAAGAACGTGCAGCAGGTGCAAGGTTCATCATCAGCTTTTGCCGCCATTCGAGCTGATGGATCTGTGGTGACTTGGGGCGATGCTGAATGGGGAGGTGACAGCAGTGCCGTCCAAGAGCAGCTCAAGAACGTTCAGCAGGTGCAAGCTTCGTCATCAACTTTTGCCGCCATTCGGGCTGATGGATGTGTGGTGACCTGGGGCGTTGTTGAACGTGGGGGCGACAGCAGTGCCGTACAAGATCAGCTCAAGAACGTGCAGCAGGTGCAAGCTTCCGAACAGGCGTTTGCGGCGATCCGGGCGGATGGATCTGTGGTGACCTGGGGCGATGATGAGCATGGAGGCGACAGCAGTGTCGTACAAGATCAGCTCACGAACGTGCAGCAGGTGCAAGCTTCTGAACAGGCGTTTGCCGCGATCCCGGCTGATGGAGTTGTGGTGACCTGGGGCAATGCTGGTTATGGAGGCGACAGCCGTGCCGTACAACATCAGCTCAAGAACGTGCAGCAGGTGCAAGCTTCTAATGCGGCGTTTGCCGCGATCCGGGCTGATGGCTCTGTGGTGACCTGGGGCGATGCTGCAGCTGGTGGCGACAGCAGCGCCGTACGAGAGCAGCTGCAAAACGTGCAGCAGGTGCAAGCTTCTCATCATGCTTTTGCCGCCATTCGGGCTGATGGATCTGCGGTGGCCTGGGGCAATGCTGAATACGGAGGCGACAGCAGTGACGTACAAGATCAGCTCAGGAACGTGGATCAGGTGCAGGCTTCCGACCAGGCGTTTGCTGCGATCCGGGCAGATGGATCTGTGGTGACCTGGGGCGATGCTGACTACGGAGGTGACAGCAGTGCCGTACAACATCAGCTGAGGACAAACGAACATCCTCCGGCCTGACTGAAGTCCGTGAAGGAACCGAAGTCGGTCCCGAATTTCCAAAAACCCTGAACCTCTACTGCAGCTACCGCACCAACCTCCAAACGAGCTGACAGCCTTTCACAAGAGCTTCCGTTCTGACTAATTAGACACCTCTACGGGACCCTCATCTCGAACTTAGATCCTAGACACCCGAAACCCTAAACCCCAAACCCTAAACCCTAAGCCCTAAACCCTAAACCCTAAACCCTAAACCCTAAACCCTAAACCCTAAACCCTAAGCCCTAAAGCCTTCCAAAGCACGCCGGCGGAGGACAGCAGTGAGGTCTCACCTGGCCGGGTGCTGGTGATGGCTGTGGAGGCAGGGAAGTCCTTTCGGGTTTAGGGTTTAGGGTTTAGGGTTTAGGGTTTAGGGTTTGGGGTTTAGGGTTTGGGGTTTAGGGTTTGGGGTTTAGGGATTAGGGTTTCGGGTATGGGTCATCTTCATCCCTACCCCCTCTTGGTTTAGGGTTTAGGGTACGAGCCTGTGTTTTTGGGTGGACTTGCTTTTGTATGTCTTGGACCTGTTTTTTGTGCGGCGGTGGGGGTGGGGGGGGGGGGGGGGGGGGGGGGGTGGTTGGGCGGGGGGGGGCGGGGGGCCACGAAAGAAGTAAAGAACAAAAGAGCCAGCGAAAGAGAGAATTACAGAAAGCTAGCCACAAGGAAAGCAGCAACGAAACGGCGAAAGACATGAGGTCAACACTAAACTAAATACTAAAATCTGTACATACATAGCTGATCAACCAGCGCCAGAAAATGAAGGAACGAAGGAACGAGCGAACGATTTACATAAAGAAGGAACAAGCAAAGACAGAAAGCACGAGCTACAGTGATATTTAAATGCATTAACATCATGAACACCTAAATGAATGCACGCATGAAGAAGCGAGTATCGAAAGAATTGGCGGAACGAAATGAACATAAGTGCATACCTACGATGAGCACAGAAGTAAACAGAGACATGGCATCATCAAAGACATGGCCTGGGCGGGTGGGCAGGTGCCAGGTCGCCCCCGCCTCCCCGTCTAGCAACCCGTCCCCCATTGTAGGGCTTCGGCTCCCGGTTTCAGGTTTCAGGTTTTGGGGCTCAGGGTTTAGGGTTTACGGTTTAGGGTCGTTGGTTGGTTTTGGGGTCTGGGGATTCGGGGTTGGGGTTCTCGAGGTGTAGTGTCAGGGCTTAGGGTTTTGCGGTTTAGGGTTTTAGGGTTGAGGCTGATAGTGTTAAGGCTTTTGGGGCTTAATTTTTTTTCGGGCCACAGTCTAAGGACCCAAACCCCCCCCCCCCCCGCCCGCCGCGTTGTGGGGCAGTGTTTCGGACTTAGGGTTTGAAGGCTTAGGGTTTTTGGGTTTTGGCTTATAGGCTTCTTGGTTTCTGGGGTTGGGTCGGGGACTCCGCGAGCAACTGAGAGTCGATGGACGTTCACTGTGTCCAACATGCTTGTCCAGTTTCAGGGCTTGGCAATCTGTGCTAATACGCACAGCTTTCCTTTCCCCTGGCCGCTCCTCTGTCGCAGCCTCGGTCGCCTAGCCGAGACCTCCAAGATTTTGATGGTAAAGCCTCAAGCATGTGGCGTGCGAAGAGCAAGAGCGAGGTACGCGACCATGGGATAGCGGGAGAGAAGATGTGGAGAACCGGCGGGGCGAGGACATTCGCAACGCTGCCGCAGAAGGCTCTGCTATACGCCGCGCGCAGGGCACGCTCCGAGTGATGCTGCGCAGCCCGAGACCGCGCCCGAGTCCGAGACCGGAGTATCAGTCCGCAACGAAATGGTTTGCCAAGATTTGGGTCGAGTCTGCACTATTATTCTCTTCCTCCGGCGAATGTCTGGTTTTTGCAATGACGTCCAGTCAGCTCGAAGCCGGTTGCTCTTCAGCTTGCCGCATATGCCCATGCTGCCGTGATGTATTACTTTGATTGGTGCCATAAACCTTAAACCCTAAACCCTAAACCCTAAACCCCAAACCTTACACCCTAAGCCCCCTGAGGGCACAGCGGGCCTATGGAGACCTGACCTCTGAACCTTAAGCTAACTAGTTCTAAATAAGGTTTAGGGTTTAGGGTTGTTAGGGTTTAGGGTTTTTAGGGTTTAGGGTTTTTAGGGTTTAGGGTTTAGGGTTTAGGGTTAGGGTTTAGGGTTTAGGGTTTAGGGTTTAGGGTTTAGGGTTTAGGGTTCAG